ATCAACTGTTTGTCCATGATTCACTTCTATACATCAGGATTGGCACTATACGGCTCCTAAGACCTCTTTGGGACTTTTTTTTTTTAAATCTGGCAGTTTGCAACAGCATGCAGTACCAGAATGTTTTTTAAACATATTTTCTCAGCGCTACTTTTCAGCCTGCCCTTAGTTGACAAATAGAGACTGCATATTGTTTTAGAGCGGATTATATACAGGTCAAGAGATCCTCAAGTCACACACAGCTACTAGGGTTTAAAATTTCCAGTGTAGGTTCAGGGGCTCCGTTTTAGAGGGAAAAGAATTAACAAATGTTATTTTCAAAGGGTCACAAATTGGGCACGCAGGCCCGTCTTACATTCGGCCCTTCCACACAGCAGCTGTAGTTTATCAATAAAACATGTTATGTTCATACCTGTGCTTTAACCAGACTGTCGTAAAGGACAACTAATTAAAAGCTTCCTCAAACTGAACAACTGGGGCTGAAAGCTTCAGATGGCAGAGTCTAACTGTGAACCGCAACACAACATGCCAACCACCCGCACAAGAAGAATAAAAAGAGCTCAATATGTCAGGGCTTTTTGTTGTTGTTGTTTTTGTTTTTTTAATCTGGTAGTAAGCACACAACAGCATGTATCAGCAGCATCTTTGAAACCATGTTTTTTCAAAACACTATTGTAACAGACACTTTGTCGTGAGTCCTGCCACCTTTTTCTTTCTTTTTTTTAAAAACTCTGTGGCCAGTAGTGGCATCTTTTTCCCAGAAAAAAAGCCAGTTCTTAAAACTGCAAGGTACTCTTGTACCCTGGTTTCAGAGACCTCAGTAAACTGATGCTGGAAGCAACAGACTATATCCGGAACAGCCAATTTAGAATTTTTTTTATTTTTGTTTTTAAATTTCCCAGTTAGCAGCTGGGAATGGCAATAGTGAACTTGGGCAGTTTCTTCTCTTGACACTTTTGTATTGACAATGTTCAGGTATTTGACGCAGTCACACTGGATGTTTGCATAACTAACAGCATTTTATTCTCGTTCTATTCTTGATGCAAAGAAACGGATGATATTTGCCAGCACAAGCCCAAGCTGGCAACTACAAACAACTGGTTTCACCAATCAGATGTTATCACACTTCTGTCAACAAAAATAACGTACAGGTGTGCTCCTTTGAACGAGTCTGAGTGGAGCATAGGGCTGTACCGGTCAGATGGAGAAAATAAACAATCCTGCCTTAACACATGTCTATCAAACAGTATTTGAATATTATATGGCATAAAGAATATACTTGGCTTTTCATTCCAGGTCAAAGGAGTGTTTCACTTGCAACAAATCATGCATATGTTTAAATAGGCAAATTAAGAAAAGAAAATAAAGACTAGTTTTAAAGATGAAACTAGTTTGGTTAAGAAAATAGGTATTAAAAACATCCTAATGAATGATTCATGCAAATTAGAAACAAATATTTTTTTTTTAAAGTTAACGCATGAGGCAAAAATATTTTTTTTAAATCACCCCCCCCCCCCCCCCCCCACCCCCCCAAAAAAACACATTAGAAATAAAATTTAAAACAAAAAACAAAATCAGAAGTTTATTAGCTTTTTAGTATTCTGTGTACCAGGATCATTTAAAAAGCCTAAAAAGTGCCTAAAACTTAGCAAACTTCATTCATAGAGGATAAGGTAGTTAAAATTTAACGAATTCAGACTAACTAGAATGTATAGATCTGATTTCCTGGGCACAATTTTGTGGGGACAAATAAAATACCCACTGTCCTGCAACAAGCATGCTGTAAAAAACAACAAATTAATGGCTTGCCTAAAGGCAAAGATAACACAGCCCAGCTGTTAACCACAACACTTCTAATGGTGAATTCGGGAAAAGAAGAAGATTAATTGTACAGATCATTACTTATACCACAAACATACTCTTGTGTGTAAACACAAAAAGGTAAAGAACCGTTACTAATTATGGCAACAGGCATATAGTAAAATTAATGTAAAGTACTCTTTTTCATGCTTTCAGGTGTTTTAGGCATATAGGGCTAGACCTATATTTTATAGACCAATCGGCACTTGGAGGGTGATGTGGTCAACATAACACCAGCTGCCTTTACTTCCCAGGACTTTACCCGGTAAATATTTAAAATCTGAGCTCGTTTTGGAGCCAAGGTCATTTTTGTTAAACAGCGGGTTCTGTCTGGGTCTGAACCCATAACTTTCAGACCCACAGTTGGGTGTCTAGCCGCTTCACCAAGGCCGCTCCCAGGCACACACTGCCAGGCCTAGATTTTCTATGCCAGGCCTAGATTTCTATGCCAGACCTAGATTTCTATGCCAGACTTAGATTTCTATGCCAGACCTAGATTTCTATGCCAGACCTAGATTTCTATGCCAGATCTAGATTTCTATGCCAGACTTAGATTTCTATGCCAGACCTAGATTTCTATGCCAGACCTAGATTTCTATGCCAGACCTAGATTTCTATGCCAGACCTAGATTTCTATGACAGATCTAGATTTCTATGCCAGACCTAGATTTCTATGACAGACCTAGATATCTATGACAGACCTAGATTTCTATGCCAGACCTAGATTTCTATGCCAGACCTAGATTTCTATGCCAGATCTAGATTTCTATGCCAGACCTAGATTTCTATGCCAGACCTAGATTTCTATGCCAGGCCTAGATTTCTATGCCAGACCTAGATTTCTATGCCAGACCTAGATTTTTATGACAGACCTAGATTTCTATGCCAGGCCTAGATTTCTATGCCAGGCCTAGATTTCTATGCCAGGCCTAGATTTCTATGCCAGACCTAGATTTTTATGCCAGACCTAGATTTCTATGCCAGGCCTAGATTTCTATGCCAGACCTAGATTTCTATGCCAGACCTAGATTTCTATGCCAGACCTAGATTTCTATGCCAGGCCTAGATTTCTATGCCAGACCTAGATTTCTATGCCAGGCCTAGATTTCTATGACAGACCTAGATTTCTATGCCAGACCTAGATTTCTATGACAGACCTAGATTTCTATGTCAGACCTAGATTTCTATGCCAGGCGTAGATTTCTATGCCAGACCTAGATTTCTATGTCAGACCTAGATTTCTATGCCAGACGTAGATTTCCATGCCAGGCCTAGATTTCTACAGACCAGTCAGAACTCGACGGGTGATGTGCCAAAACCATGCCAGCCAACTTTACTTCCCAGGATATCAAGGTAAATTTTTGTTAATTTCAGGAATGAAGAGGATTCAAACCCTATACCTTCAGGCCGGCAGCAAGCATCTAGACACTACGCTTCCACAGCTCAACACATATGTGCATTGAAATGAAATTATTTAAAGAACTGGCCACATCTCCGACATTTTTCAAAAAATGACTTTGGCTCCCAGGTCGACCCAGTCTTAAATGAGCATTAGGTAAGTACTGAGAAGTAAAGCTGGCCAGCGTTAAGTTAACCACGTCACCCCCTGAGTGCTGATTGCTCTAAAAAATATAGGTCAAGTCCTATATGCCCAATACACCTAAAGGTATGTAAAAGGGTCCTTTTAAAAAGACATCTCTACATCTTGCAAACTGGACAACTACCTACACAGATCCTCTAGTAAGCAAAAACTGCATCTACCAGATCATCTTTTCCACCACAGCTTGACTAATATGTTTGACTAGATCACCACTTTCACCAGACTGTGGAATACATGTTAAGTTTATGATTACATCACCACTTTCACCATAAGGTGTCACAGATGTCTGGTTTATGATTACATCACCACTTTCACCATAAGGTGTCCCAGATGTCTGGTTTATGATTACATCACCACTTCCACCACACAGGAAGGAAGGAAAAGATATGCATGAATACAACATAAACTTTTGACCAGAATCTTTACCAATAGACTAAATAAACAAAGCAACAAGGTCAACATAATGATAATAAAAACAGTCTTATGGCCACATTCAATATATCTCATTGAAAAGAAAAGAGCCACTTACAATATAAACACCATAAACAGAAATAAGTAGACAAAACCAGTACATGGTACTTTCCTAGTTCACATTCTTGCCTCAGGAACACTGTTTTTTTGTTTTTTAAATAAAAATGAGTTATGACCATGTTTGAATTCTAGAGAAAAAAACTTTAAAAAGCCCACTGTATACAGATCACTAATAAATTAATAACAAACTAATAAACACTTTTCTATATACATTTTGTCAAAATATATTAGATAAATGAAGGGAGTAATCAACAAACATGGGTGAAGCATTAAATGGAATACATTACTTGGAAGCCTTAAAAAAAAAAAAAAAAATATATATATATATATATATGTAGGGTGACTCATGCCATGGTGACCTCAATCACTAAGGCTTAGAGGAAAATATGATATCAATCTAGCTTTAAAAAGCCATTTCGCTCAAAGAAATATATATATATCCTTACTACCTACATGTTTGCGCAGCTGTGCAAATAGCCAATAGCAATAATTGTGCAACTTGTAAACAGGTCACTACAGACAAATCAGAAAAGTGACATTTATGGGGAATTGGACCTCGCTGGAAGTATTGGGATTTGCAGCTTTTCTGGGCAAAAGGGTTCATTCACAAATATACTTAACAAAAAACTTCACAAAAGAAAAGCTGACATGTTACAGTTCAACCACTCTCTCTTTCTCAAGAAATATCTCCACTTACCATCGTCATTTTCACATGCCATGCCGATAAGTACTAACTGTCATGTTTCACAATTTCACACGATCACCAGAATGCTGGATCAAGTCAGTGTTCTTGTTTTGTTCCCATCCATATGTCCAAGCCATTCAGGTATCTATCCTTCTGCCTGCTCCTTGCTCTTTTATATTCCTATTAATCTTAACAGTTGTCGCCAAGTTCTCCAGTCCATTCCTGGTCACAAAAAATCTTGGCCACTCCTGTCAAAAATGATATGATGACAAACATCCCTGTAAGAATATGTCAGACAGTGACCTGTCATTTCCACGATGTCATTCACTCAGTCTCATCAGCCGCAGGACACGCCAGGACACGACCATCGTCAGCATCCACGTCTTCGATGGTCCGATAGGGTACTGACAACCCACCTCGCGACAATGTGTTGTGCACATACCTGGAAAATTATCAAGGGAAATAAAATGTTACTGATGATCACAGATGATTGGAGTCTCAATTTCACAAGCAATAAATCTGAGATACAACACACTTTCACAAGCAATAAATCTGAGATACACTTCCCTCCTACAAGCAATAAATCTGAGATACACCTTATGTTCACAAGCAATAAATCTGAGATACACCTTATGTTCACAAGCAATAAATCTGAGATACACCCCACTTTCATAGGCAAAAAATCTGAGACAGATACACCTCACTCTCACAAGCAATAAATCTGACATATCCTGCCTCTCACAAGCAATAAATCTGAGATAACCTCACTTTCACAAGCAATAAATCTGAGATAACCTCACTTTCACAAGCAATAAATCTGAGATTGTTTTTGTTGTTGTTATCGATCCAGTGGCGCATGAGCTTTCGCCCTTTGGCCCAATGCCATGTAATGGAATTTGCATGTTTTCACAAGCTGTTCTTTTCCTCCGTACAAGGTGTTCCACTTGTCTGGTCTCAGATGGAGTAGCGTTCTTCTTGTCTCACTGAGTTTTGGACACTCAAAGAGATGGTGTTCAACAGTTTTGTAGGGGTAGTTACATAGCTGGCACTCTAGGGAGTGTTGTGGCTGTATTCTGTTTAGATGTCCATTGAGTGGAGTATGTTGCGTTCTAAGTCTGAAGATGGTGGCATGGCGCCTTCTTGTTAGATGGTTAATGCTGTCATTAGGATCAGGGCCAGCCATGTGTCTATAAACCTCTTTTCCAGTGTCTCCCATGGCCCATCTGTTGAACCAAGTCTCTTTGTTTATAGCTCTTATAAGTTTTTTTGCTGTCTGTAGGGTTATCGCTTTAGGTGGTTGTTCTTGTGTTGCTCTTTTCTTTGCCAGTATGTCAGCTCTGTCATTACCTGGTGTATAAATCTAAGATACACCTCACTATCACAAGCAATAAATCTAAGACACACTTCACTCTCACAAGCATTTAATCTGAGATAGATACACATTACTTTCACAAGCAATAAATCTGAGAAACACCTCACTCTCACAAGCAATTAATCTGAGATAAACCTCACTTTCACAAGCAATAATTCTGAGATGCACCTCACTTTCACAAGCAATAAATCTGAGATACACCTCACTCTCACAAACAATTAATCTGAGATGGATATACCTCACTTTCACAAGCAATAAATCTGACATACACCTCACTTTCACAAGCAAAAAATCTGAGATACACCTCACTCTCACAAACAATTAATCTGAGATGGATATACCTCACTTTCACAAGCAATAAATCTGACATACACCTCACTTTCACAAGCAATAAATCTGAGATATACCTCACTTTCACAAGCAATAACTCTGAGATACACATCACTTTTACAAGCAATAAATCTGAGATACACCTCACTTTCACAAGCAATTAATCTGAGACAGATACACCTGCCTGTCACAAGCAATAAATCTCTACACTTCCATTATACACAGTGAGTATGCTAGGATTCTACAACACTCAAATAAGGCTTACATGATAATACACAAGATAATCAAAAGCAGGGCAGCTCCCAGCATGTAGCAGAGACCCGGGAAGATGTCTCGAGTGGCTGGGTACAGCTCATTGAATGAAACTGACGCCAGCAGAGAGACAAGGCTCTCCGAGGCTGCAATCAAACCAAACAGACGACCTGGATAGAAAAATAATGGAGAAAATGACCAGTTATTAAAAAACTTTTATGAACATCTTACAGAAAAATGTTAGAGAATAGAAAAATATCATGACATATAAAACAAAAGACAGCAGAAACACTTTTTGAATAATGAAACAGTCTCTTCTTCTTGCGCATTTATTCTAAAAAAAATTACGGTTGGCACACTGTGTTGTGGGAGCCGCCATGGTGTAGAGGCTAGATGCCCACTTGCAGATCCAATGGCAAGGGGTTCAGGCCCTGACGTAGCTAGACTTTTTTTTTTCAAAAATGACCTTGGCTCCCAGGCTGACCCAGCCTTAAATGGGCATCAGGTAAAGTCCTGAGAGATAAAGGTGGCCAGCGTGATGTTGACCACAACACTAACCGAGAGTCTATAAGGTATAGGTTTAGCCCTATATGTCTAATACGCCTGAGGGGTGGAAGGAAAAGGATCCAGTTATATTGTGTTGTGGCTTACAGCTGTAGTTTCTCCGCCTTTCAGCCCAATACATCTGAGTTCAACAAACATCTAATTAGTCTCATTTCACAACATGCTTTTTGTTTTTTATTTTTTTTCCTGATACGTGATTAGGGTGATAATGTGGGATTGCGAAACATGATAGCCTACTCTTATCAACAGGGCACATGATGATAATGATGAACTAAATGTGTAAGAACAAGTGCTCTTGTCTTGCCAAACTATTCTCCTCAATTACATATCTTCACAGAGTTTCACACAACTTGTTCTTTTCTATTACAGAGGTGTCTACAGAATAAAGAACAGACTTCATTATACTGAACTGCCTGCAAAAATAATTATGCAAAGCATGAACCCTGCAGATCCAATGACACCACCCCCCCCCCCCCCCCCCCCCCCCCCCCCCCCCCCCCCCCCCCCCCCCCCCCCCAAGGATTTTCAAAACACTCGTATGCACTTGAGAATCAAACGATTCCCGACCTTCAGAGGTCCAGGGCACTTTAAAACCAAATGACCCATGACCTTAAGAGGTTAAGAGCACATGGAATCTAAATTACCCCTACGACCTTCCCCCACTTAACTACTTCGCCATGGAGACCTTCATTGTAATTACGAAAAGTCCCCGTGTGGGTTCCGGGGCCCTACTATGGGAAAAACAAGAATAGACCCACTGCCTACCCAAAAGCATGTCGTAAGAGTCGACTAATTGGGAGCTTCCTTTGAAGTCGGAGTGCATCTGCCTGAGAGGCAAGGAACCAACAGCCTGCATACAGATCTGTCAAACTGATGCACACGCAACACTCAGGTTCTGGAACAGGACTGCAGTCCAGAAGTGACCGAACAACCAGAACTTTCCACCGGAGTTTACAGCCAGTGAACGCGAAGAAGAAGAAGAAGAAGAATTACGAAAAATATCTCCAAGCAGCACAGCTTACCTTGTTCCTCGAGCGGCACCAAAGAAGACATAGTTGCTCGTAGACCAGCTGAAGGTATACCCTTAAACATTCCAACAACTGAAGCTGAATATACGAAACAAACAAAAGATTTAGTTTTCATTTTTTAACTAAACACAGCCTCTGTACTCAATATTCAATGCCATTAAAAAAAAAAACAAAAAAAAACTCAGTTGTCTATCTTTTACAGGACGTTGCAGAACCAACTCCAGCATTTTTGGGCTGTTGTAGTTTTTCTAGGCAAATTTACATTCAGTAGTTTGCCACTGCTTTCTGACCGCTCATATCTTGAAACAATTGTCAAAACTAACACAAAGTATGCTACCAAATTGCCTGCAGCGCAAGGCCACAAACTGTGCCTAAATATAAGACTTTACTGACAAAACAAATCTGAAAATCTAGGCAACTGATAACATTCACATTGAATTTTACAATCAAATCAAAGCATGATCTAATTATAAGTTCTACAAGTGGCATAATAGCAGCAATAATACTCAGTGGGGATTAACCATTATAGTATTTCCAGGGACAACAACTAGAATGCTGATTTTACAAAAAAATGTGTTGCTGTAAAAATAATTTAAATGCAAATGAGATGACCCTAACATCTGACCTTGCGTTTTTCAATGAATCTGTTGCAAAGTGGAGTTCCCATAGACAAACTAATAGTATCATTTCTCACTCTGTCTCAGAGGGCTGAACTGGTGGCCTTTCTCAGACACTTCTTTCCACAGGTTTTAATTGTACCTAGGTTCATCATCATCATGTAGCAGGTCCTTTGCAGAACGTTGCTCTCATCACGGTCTGCCTGATAGAAACTCGGTCTCTCGCCAGCTCTCCTGCCTCATGCACTTTCATACTCAATGAGTCACTTATATCCTGTGCCCATCTTTGTGTTGGTCAGCCCCTGCCCCTCCTTCCTGGTACCACGCCTTCTGCTATTATTTTTTCCAATCTGTCGTAGCGCTTGATATAACCAAAATATTTCAGCTTCTGAGACAGGATGCTGTTTATTAGCCAATGTTCCTTTATGTTCAGATCTTTCAAGATGTCAGTATTTCTCCTCTTCTTTGTTCAAGGTATTCTGAGAATCTTTCTATAGCATTTCAGCTCAAAAGCACCTAATCTCTTTCTTAAGGACTGGGAGATAGTCCATGACTCCCATCTGCATGTTGCTATAGGGAAGATGATTGCTCTTAAAACTCTAACTGTGATCTCCTTGCTGGTGCTTAACAATATATTTTTCAGGATGTTTAATCTTTGCATTGCTATAGCCATGTACCTAGGTCAGCCTTTGATAACCTCAAAGTCTAGCATTGGTAGCCCAGTGTTGGTATGAATATGCTGTTTATAATCTGTGTCTTAACAATGATACTTATGTCTGGATCTCTTAATAACAGTTTTAGTTGGTATATAAGTGTGCTGGAGCGGTATATTGTTTTTATTTCCTGATCCATTTCTCTCATCTTTCATGAAAATAATTCCTAGATTGTTTAAATTCTTTAACTTGCTTCAGACAAGTACCATATGTAGTGGACTAGGAACAATAAATTGTCAAACATGTATGAGTAATTATTAAATAAAGTAATAAAAATAAAACAATGTCTATTTCTTTTAAATTGTTTTAAAACTAGACAATTACCTAAAAATACCATCCATCTGGCATTAGCAGCACCAAGGATAATGAAAGCTGCAATGTAGGACAACAGGCCAAACATTACCAATGGCAGATCAGTCACAGTTGTTAGTCTCTTCATCAGCGGTACAAAGGTGATCATGATGAGGCCTCGGAGAAAGTTATCCAAACCTCGAAGGTAGCCAAACAGCGTCAGTGAGAAGCCAAACGAGTCTTTCAGGTAAAGCAGAGAAATGTCCATATCACCTGGTCAAACAATAAACCTTTGTAATAACTTTATAATTACTGTGTTTCCTTGAAAATAAGTCAGGGTCTTATTTAAATTTTTGCTCCAATAAACAACTTAGGGCTTATTTTCAGGAGATTTCCTTATTTTTTGGGGGGTTTTCTAATGTATGAAAATCCACATGTAATCTTCCTCTGGAACATTTTTACAATTCAATACATCCGTCGTTTGTTTCGATGGATGAACAACTTATGTCCATCTGGATGATGACTTTAACCAGGCAGCATATTTGAGGTAGGCTTTATAGATTTGTGACCCCTGCTCTCTAGCGTAGTTGGCTAAACCGGATTGCGCGGAGACCGGATGACGAACTCCTTGTGGTCCGGGTTCACTCCCGGGGGTAGGCAGAAAAGCCACATTTCTCCCAGATTTATGGTATTTACAATGGAATCAAGGCCGAAAGGTTGCGATATCCATAATACCGAGCCTAAGGGTTAACAACTCATGGCTTCTGAATACTAAAACAAAACAAACATAGATTTGTGAACATCCAGAAAATCACAGTAGGGCTTATTTGCTTGTCAGGTCTTATTTTTGGAATACCAAACAAAATTACGATTCATATTTTTATGCACATATGTAGTTTGAATAATGAGAGGATAGTTCTCAAAAAAACAAAAATTCTTAAAAACCCATTTTCATCAATATAGTTACACTCTACATTATTATTAATGTGCGTACAGAAAGAACTTGTGGTAAATCTAAAATTGCCATCGTAGTCATGGGACCATCTAAAACCTCCAGTGGTAGACAAACTGTGTATAGAAAGAAGACAATGTGATTTGCGTATTTCAGTGAAAACAAAGAAGTTTGATTGTGCTACATTATAAATTTATGTAACAACTCTGTAATAATGCAACTGAGGAGATACAGTGAAATCAGCCAGGCATGAAATTGTGCAATGTTTTGTTTCTGAGCATTTTTTTTTTAAATTAGTTTGTGCCATGCACGTAAAGTATTTAGGTACATTAGAACACCAGTTGGAAGATGAGAAACAGAAATAAAAAGCAGAAAAGGACAAAAAAGAACTACATTTTGATAACTGAGGCAACATCTCAGAATTTAACATAAAGGATTTTCAGAATTTAAGAGACAGGATGAAAAGAATTTAAGAGACTGGATGACAAGAATTTAAGAGAAAAAAAGGAGATGAATTTAAGAGATAGAATGAGAAGAATTTAAAAAACAAGATGAGAAGAATTTAAGAGACTGGATGAGAAGAATTTAAGAGACAAGATGAGAAGAATTTAAGAGACAGGATGAAAAGAATTTAATAGACAGGATGAGAAAAATTTAAAAGATGAGAAGAATTTAGGAGACAGGATGAGAAGAATTTAAAAGATGAGAAGAATTTAGGAGACAGGATGAGAAGAATTTAAAAGATGAGAAGAATTTAAGAGACAGAATGAGAAGAATTTAAGAGATAAGATGAGAAGAATTTAAGAGACAGGATGAGAAGAATTTTTGAGGCAAGATGATAAGAATTTAAGAGACAGGATTGTGACCATTCAGTCATCTGTTCCTTAGCAACAACTGTCAGTCATATTTATTGACCTGTAACACAGACTGACCTGAGGTGCAGAGCATCAGAACATCAACGGCAATAACCTGCAAGAGAAGAATACGGAAAGTGTTCCCTTCTCGTCTTTTGGTAACACACTGGAATGATTCTCGAAGGAATTTCACTGTCATACTCCAGCAACTTTCACGTCGCTGTTCCGTTATTGGTGAGTGAACGTTATCCAGCCAAAAGAAACTATACAATAAAGCCACTCCTATCGTAACGCACAGAGCTGCAAACGTGAAAACATAGCCTTGTCTGTCAATGATGACCCCGGAGACAAAAACACCGACAGTGCCAGCGAGAAACACCATGGATTCCAAAATTCCAACCCTTACCATTTTTGTAGAGGGAGCAGAAATATGGCTGACGTAACTGTATACTGCCATCAGGCAGGCGATAAAACCGCCACAAATTCCATTTATTACCGGACCAATCAGAATGTATGGCAATGGGGCAGTCATGTACTTTGCATTCAACAAACCTGATAGATAAGCAGCAAATGCTCCAACACAAGGGAAAATAACTGGAGGTTTTCTTCCAAACCTATCGCCTATTGCACCTAAGAATAATATAACAACAAAAAAGGAAGGGATGGTCAAACCAAGGTTGACTTTAAGAATCCAGAAGGATGTCTCCGAAGATACGTAATTACTCTCAACTTTGTAAGCTTTTTTATAAGTCTCATTGTGCTGTAAGTCATCGCAAAAAGCTTCTGTGTACTTATGCAAGCAGACTTTGTTGAAAATGAGAGCCTGAAGGGCGGAAAAGTACAAGAAGTTTGAGAACATGTACAAAAACAATACTGGTTCCACTGTAATATTTGCCAGGTTGAACCGGCACCTTCCACATCCAATATAAATCTGGTGCACCATCTTCTTGTCTGAACAGTCCTGAAAAATAAAACCAGATTAATTTACAAAAGTTGTGTTTTAGATGTGGAAAATGATAATATGATGATAATACATAAGGTTCTTTCCTTTTCTTCACCCAATCTCAGAGCCGCCAAGATTTTGTGGGAAATTCTCAGGAAAGGCCCGTGGTATAAGGGTGTTATGACTAGTAAGTAAATAAGTAAATTTTACCCCACCAGGACATAACACAGAGCAATAAACACCCGGTGACACAAAGTGCTGGAATTTTTTTTTTTTTCTCTTTCTTCTGTTCTTTTTTAATTTTAAAAGTGCTATAAACTGTGTTCAACCAATTAATAATATTGTGACCCCTGGCAACAGTCTGACTTTCTACCCCACTAGGACATCACACAAGCGATAAACACCTGATGACACAAAGTGCCACCATGTGGATGAGGATCACTGTGGAGAGGTCCCAGAAACCACGTTCAGACAATTGGCCATATTAATGGCCTGCCTATATTGTGGCCCCTGGCAAAAGCCAGAGTGGGGCTTCAAATAACAAAAAATTACATCCTAAAATGGATGTAAGGAATAATAACGACCTGCAGGCAACAGTCAAGGTACGTAGACACACTGAAAATGATGACACAAATAAATGTGCTAAACAACCAACACATTCACACAGATTGAAAGTTAGCTGCACAGTCGTTCACACAAAAGAAAGATGCACACTTTCATGTGGAAGACAGTTTGTTGACCTGGTAAACACACTTTTCTTCTTAACCCTAATATTAAACAATATTAAACATGAAAGAATTTTAGCTTTGTGTGAACACACAAACAATGGATTACGTCCCCTGTGATCGGCACTTGCAGTAATGTAAGTTTACAACAGATTGTGTCCCCTAGGGTCACCGTTGCAAGGATGCCATAATTTGTTCATGATAGTAGTATTCACCACTGAAATGTTAATATGTGTTCTTAGAATGGACTTAATGCTTCACTGGGGTATCGCTGGATTTGTAACTTTATTCATTATCTAGCTGTGATGGCTTCATCAGTGAAAACCCAATTTTAAAACTAGCATCCCTAAATAACGGAACATCAACAACACCCAGTGTGAAATGTCTACACACCTTTTCAATACTTGCAATGAATATTAATATAAAATACTGTTGTTCTTTGTGTTAAAAGCCGACATTAACATCGTCTTGTCTATGCATCTCTTTCCGGTAACCTGCAAGCACATCACTTAAAACTTCACAAACCGTTGTATCCCAAAGACAACCTAACCAAGATCTACCCTCTCGCTTCGCCATATTCTGGCAGACGAGGAAGCTATCGGGTTTTCCCATTTATTATCCACTGAAAAACTTTGACTAGAAAAAAACCATGAAGCAAAGTTTTGCTCAAAGTTATAACTGTTTGCCTCACGTTTAACTCAGGGGGTTTATTATCATTATTATTATTATTATTATTTTTATTATTTTTTTTGCTGATGCTAGTACTACTACTACTGCTTCTTTTTTTTACTAGTACTATCACCAAAACCACTATTACTACTACTTCGTCTTTTCTCCCTCTGTGAGCTCCTAGGCCACATTGGGGTTGGTGATAAGAGGGGGTTATAGCAAACCACAGCCTTCTCCAAATAGAGTCGGCCGTGTAGCAGACAAACTACCCCTTAAAATTTGGCCTATGTTGTAAGTATCAGGCAACTGGTTGAAGATTTGTTGAAAAGAAGAACAGCCCAGATTTCACAACCTAGCTTTAAACCACAACACAGCGTGCCAATAGACTGGTATAGGCAAGGTCGCTGGTAAAGAATGATTCTTCTTCTACCTTCAGACGCCCCCTAAACATATTTAAAGAAAGTAGCAGCACATTTAAAACTTGCTGACATCTTGAAATAGTTTCTTTCTCAAAGGACCGTGTACAATTGCTTTCTCTCTACTCTACTTGTGTTTACACTTGTGCAGCATCGGATTCAACACCACATCAAGTAAAAGGTCAAGGACCCTTGTCCACACTTCAGACTTATTGGGTATATAGGGCTAGACCTATTTTGTATAGAGCAAACAGCACTTGGTGGGTGATGAGATGAAGATCACGCCAGCCGCCTTTACATAAGGACTGTACCCGGCACCCACTCATGGCTGGGTGGACCTGGGAGCCAAGGTCATTTTTGAAAAAAATGCGGCCCCTGTCAGGACCCGAATCCAAGACCTTCTGATCCACAAAGAGCGTCTAGCCGCTAAACCCCGGCGGCTCCGACCAAACCAAAGTAAGCATTATTATTATGATTCTTTTTGGCACGTTTTGCGTCAAGAAAAGAAAAAGAAAATCAATACTTTTTCTGAATTCGCCCTTAGCTGGACCTTTCAACCCGCCACACCCAATTTCAACAAAACCCTAATTTGTCTCATTTTACGACATGCTTGCTATATACAGTGGGCCTATTCTTGTTTCTCGTAAATGGGGCCCAGCATCTACACAAAAAAGAAATCACTTAGTTAAAAATAGCATTATAAAAATTACGTCTGAAACACAAGACAGTCAAACCAACGAGATAAATCCAATGTACGTGAGAGCTCGAGATATGAGATCCCTTATATACACCACAAAGGATTATTATCATGCTGACCCACTAGTCTCTTTGCAAAGTAAGTATGACATACTTTTCGACAGTGACAGCTAGTGTCAAATAAAAATGAACATGTTAACAAAACAATGAACACACTATCTAGTGTGGATTTATAGTTTAAGGGTCAACTAGGTCACAACACTAGCCTGCCCATAGCTACTGGAGAACTATGCCGCCATTTCCGTGGCTTAAGTGTTGCGAGTCAGACTCGTAATTCCAACGTACCGCGATCGAAACCCACTGTTGGCTGCGTGGATTTTTATCACGGTAGGGGGCGTCGCAAGTTGACCCGGCCTTAAATTGGTACCAGGATGTATGTCCTGGGGAAGTAAAGACGGCCGGCGTAATGCTGAGTGTTGAATGCTAAATTAAGAATCGACATCCCAGCACTCAGGACACTCAAATAAGCGCCCCGTCCCCATCTTCAGCAGCAAGCGCAGAGTTAAAATTCCCATAGTACCAGTAACAGTCTGATTGTATATCCGTCTCCCCCCCTCCCTCCTCCGAGTTTCGAGCGTCGGCCAGATCCCCTTGTAACTCCTTGCAGTGCCATTCTCCTCAGACCGTAATGATCTATCTTTTTCTCGGCTCTGTTCACTCGCTCCCAAAGGGCCCTCACAACATCCAGCTTGTCATATATCAGTTTACCACCAATTGGTGCAGAAACGGCCAGTCTATCCGCCTGCTCATTTCCCAACACACCGGCAGAACTTGGAGAAAATATCCAAAGGATGCTAACGACCCGGGACCTCTGAAGTGATGCTTGCCACTCTGCACGGAGCATGCCTATCTCCACCTTTCTCAGCATGCTCTGTGAGTCAACAACATTACATGCTGACAACATTACTCACCTAGAGCCGATTGGTCTGTACAAATATGGATGATCTTCCTATATGCCCAATGCGCCTAAGGCGTAAAAAGGGATCTTTGTTTTATTCTTATGCCGCCATTTGTCGGCACTTAAGCGAACCGAATCTGGTTGATTTTACCAATCTGAGCCGGTTTTTGCAATGGACCAAGATGTCAAAGAAAGTATTCAGCAGCGTAAAATGGAAGTAAGATTTTATGGCTTGATTCCACGCGGTTGTCTAAATTCTTAGGCATTTCTATTATCTGTCGCTATTTTTTAAATATCTATTAAGATGGTCGTCCAGGTTTCTCAGTGTCTCCACACCTATGACATTTTGTTTTTATTTTACTGCAAATGCCCCCAAGAGCTGCCTAGAGGAAATGACATTTGTTCTGTACTAGAGTGCAGAAGTAGACGAACAACTAGAACATTCTGTAAGAGTTTACACGCGGTGAACGCGAAGAAAAAGAAGAAGGAAGAAGAAGAAGAAAAGTGAGCGGGGAGATGTAGCCCACTGACTAGCAGCCTTGCCTGCCGGTCAGAAAGTCTTATTTTCCAATTCATATCCACAGGAAAAGTGTTTAAAAAATCTTGACTGAAGTTAGCATCACAACTAAAACAGTTTCTGATAAACTAAAAACATTCATTAACTGGTGCCGGTAGAGAATAGATGGAATTAAATTGTGTGAAAGAATCACTGATGTTGAACTTTGGTGAAGAGCTAAACAAATTCCAAAGGACCGGAAGGCGAAGAAAAGACGCATCGGATAGCTGACATGTTTAGAAAACCAAAAACAATATAACTAGAACGTACTGGAACCCAACGGCCAAGTATGCACGCTTTAAAAAAAAAGGTGTCTTATTGGCCATGTCTATCGTAAAGCTTGAAATTTCCATAGTTGTGGATTTCAAGCTGAACGATAGACTTGGCCATTAAGACACCTTTTTTTTGGGTGTGCCTAGTTGACCATGTTCTTAGTGCAATTGTATCCATGGCGAGGCGCACATGCCGTCTGGAGGTGACAGGTTCAATTCCCGGCACGGTAACCTTAGCTTTCGATTTTTATGTTGTCTAGTGTGTTCTTCTATCTTTCTACTTCTTTCTATGAGTGCCGATCACTACACTTTCTGTTACTTGATTAATTCATTATATTTAACTGCCTCAAAGGTCCCCCCTACCCCCTCCCCTCAGTTTATTTAATGGAACCCAACGGGCAGCAGGGGCAGTCGAAGAAGATGGCGAAAAGCGGTACTGGTATGGAAAAGGTCCTCTACTTGTTTGTAGAAAGGGAGGAGGAGAAGGGGAAAGAGAGACATAGAGAGACAAAGAGAACTAACGAGCTATATTTCCAAAGGGTTATAAACTGGGCACGCAGGTACGTCTGACCTTAGGCTCTTTCAAATAGGCATCTTTTACACGGCAGTTTTAGGAGGGGCATTAGGAAAGTAATGCACTACATTGTTTTTCTCAGCTAATGATAAAGATAGAAACAAGCAGTTTTGGCATACTGAAAATATATCGTG